ATTATATTTAACACATCAAATATATTCTATTCATTTTGCAAGCTATACAGTTTAATTAACATAATTTCTAGCTAAGATTCTACAAAAATGTTTTCTGAGAAAATACTTCTGTCATGCACTGAGTTATGCCCATTCAATTTAACAGGCAGAAGGACAAAAAAGAGAACAGTGGACACAAATAAATCATACAGATTTGCTCACAGAATAGGCATTGCTTGATGTAAGAGCAGTGGGCTTACTAGCTAACTAGGCTTCACTCCAAGAGCTCTTCCACTGTGGTACCAGTATGAACTATTTATAGGAATCTGTTTCCAAAATTCTGCATATATGATTCAAGCAGTTTTAAGAGTGGTTATGCAATTCTAAGATACACACCACAGAATAAAGGTATCCTTTGAAATAGATTTAATTCTTGAGAGAGACTGAAAAAAAAAGATAAAAAAATTATTTTAACAAATAATAGAAAAAAAGAAAAGATTTTGTTTGCTTGTTTTTACTTAATTCAAATACAGAAGCAAAGCATGCATCTTGACAAAGCCCTAAGAAAATCACTAATGGAGATTTAGCTGCATGAAGGTCAATAGGAAGGCATGCTCTTCTCTGAGAAATGTTACATAATGTGCTGTTTCTAAGGAAGAAGAGCAGTCAATCAGTAGCCAAATTGTTTCTGCTAGAGAATATGTTAAAGCAATTGCCTTTCCATATACCACTCTTTACAGCCTAAGCTAATTATATGGAACAACTTGTAGAATCTGTTGAACGACATCCTGTCAACTGAATATCTTTCAGAATGATTTCTTTCTGTTTTCTATTCTGTAAATTTCCATAAGCATATTATTTTTTTTAAATCTATTCTGACCAACATCTGACTGGATTTCCTGATGCTAACATTTTTGTGAATGTTAACTGTAGTACTGCAAAGAARCCAAGGAAAATATGAGGTCTGCTTTTATGACTGTTGTGGACAAGGGAGCATAACAGTAAAAATCCKGCCACAGAATCATCATTGCACACAGAAAACAGTAAGAGTTATCACACAGAATCATTTTTTGTCAAAGTAGAAAAAAAAAATCTGAAAACATTTCAAATCCCCTCTCCATCAGCAAATGGATCACTCTAAGATTCTGTTTCTTCACAGCCAGAAAAATCAGTTTCTCACTTACTAATACAAGGACTCTCATGTACTACTGTGCAATGTCAGGACCAGAATAGAATCACACATAGAGATAATGAGATAATTGCCAGTGAAGTGCAGGTGTTCACAAACAATGCTATAAGTAGCTTTTACTGAGCACAGTTCTGCACTCATGAGAGTAGCAATATTCATTGTCTTTAACCCAATATCCCTTCTAAGACAATGACCAGAAGTGAGCGCCTAGAGTTAAGTGTAAGAAGGCAAGGACACTTCTAGTAAGTACTCTCTTAGCCTCGAATTATGTGTGGACTAGGAATTTCCTCTGCCAAAAGTTGTTTGTCAGTGTTTAATAAACCACAGTATATTTCCATTCCGTGAGTTCATTCAATCTGTTCCAGTAAGTATAAGCTTTCACTGAATACAGCATCCAAAGATGAAGATTTCCACAACTCAGCTGTATGGTATATTAGGAACTACCAATACATCCTCTGTCACCAAAATTTGCACTAAATCACAGGAAGGCTCAGTATTTTGCATGCATTGAAAATGGAGTTCTGCTATGGTTCGTCTGTTACTGAAACCAGTTTTCTATCATAAATCTTAGGACTAGGAGTTATTTCAATAAAATTACTGCCTCTGCTCTGAAATTATGTCATGGAGAAGAGTTTAGAATGCAAAATAGCCAAATACTTCAAACTAAATAGCTGTCACATAGAAAAGAGTCCATTGAAATTGGGTATATTTTCACTTGTATCTTGATACTTTGCCCTTGTGCAGCAGGTTTATTATTCGGTAGCAGGCATTTAGGGTATGGAAGAACCTAATCTTGTGAAAACACTTACAGAAAAGCAGTCTGTAGTAAGATTTAGTAGTAAGATTTATGGAAATAAGCAGTTTTTCAGCCATGTGGAATTTAATATATATAAGTAGCCTTATTCTTATTTTGCATCCGCTATCAAGTTCTAAAAAGTTCAAGTTCATTGTGGCATATCTGATAGCAGACAATATCAACATCTCATAATAGATATAAAATACAGTATATGACCTCTTTTCAGTGGTGGACAGTGATAGGACTAGAGGAAATGGCTTCAAACTGAAGCATCGGAAGTTCCACAGGAACTTAAGGAAGCATTTCTTCACTGTGCGGGTGACAAAGCACTGGAACAGGCTGCCCAGAGAGGT